CGGTTCAGCCATGGGGCTCTATGGTTTTAAAGTGCAGCAGGATGGACTAGTTGATTCAGCTCAGTCAGTGGGACTTGAGTGCTGCATGCTTGGGCCACACAGAGGTGACATTCCACCTGCTTGTTGGGAAGCCTTGGAGGTAGTCTGCTTCAGAGGCTCCAGTGGAGGTCAAGAGTGTCCTGGAAGAACAAGAAAGAGAGAGATGGATGGTGATTCAGGAGATCTGGCTGGTCCCCATGCTGGGGATGGTGTTTTCTGAGCAGGCCTTGAAGGGTGTGAGAAAGGGTATTCTAGAGCAGAGGGTTCTGCAGTTAGCAAGTGTGCAGCCCCGACTGCTTAGGCTGTGTTCTGGAAACCCCAGTAGGTTTACAATGGGGGGAAGTACTCAGGGGGAGGGAGTACAGGGGCGTGAGTGGTGGAAGACCCCATCTGGGCTCTGTCACGGCGGCCTTGCGTGCCCGGCCGGGGAGATTATGTTTTATGTCAGATGTAGTCGTAGCTGTGGAAGGTTTTAGGGCATTGGAGAAGTCTGAACTCCTTTGGGTTTGGGAAGAGGGTTAATGAGTCTGTCGGAAAGAATCCGTAGGATCCTAGGAGTTAGACAGACATGACTCTGAATTTCAGGCCTTTCCAATTACAGCCGGGTGACTTTGGCTAGACCACTTAATCATGAAGAGCCTCGGTATCCCCTGTTGTGAAAGGCGGAGAGTAGAGCTTCCCTTGCAGCAAGGTTTCTCAGCCACAGCACTGTTAATCTTTGGGCCAATGAGCCTTTGTCCTGGGGGCTGCCCTGTGTGTTGTAGGGTGTTGAACAGCATCCTCAGCCTCCATCCCCAAGCTGTGCTAAGCGGAATGTCTCCAGACACTGTCAATACCCAGCACTGCCCCGAAGCAAGAACCATTGCCTTACAGGGTGGTTGGAGGATTGGACACGACCTGAGTGAAGTGCCTAGTACAGAGCCGGGTGCCAAGGGTGCTGAGCTGATGAGCACACTGTCGGCAGAGGGGAGGCCCCTTGGGAGTCTCACTGTCATAGTCCAGGTGAAACCAGTTAGGAGAGAAGGTTGACCTAGCTGGAGATGTCTAGGGGTGGGCCCCACAGGGTCTGCCCACCCGCAGGAGGAGGAGCATAGGAACCTCCCAAGGTCCTAAACCTGGGTGGCTGGGAGGGCAGAGGTTTGACCCACAGGAGAGGGACCAGTTTAGGATGAAAAGCTGTGGCCTGGCCCCCTTGAGCCCAGGCTGCAGGTGGTCATCGAGGGCACTGCCCAGAGCAGCAGGAGGTGTGGAGCCCAGGGAAACTGTGTCTGCAAGAGGCTGGGGACCTCTGCCCTTCCTTGTGGTTCCTACACCCCCTGAAGCCCAAAGGCTGATTGAACACAAGGCCACACATGGGGCCTGGAGGAGGAAACTCAAGTGTAGGGCACAAGAGGGAATAAAGGACAATTAGTGCATCTGGTGACCAGACATCCCCAGCTTCTGAGGGAAAGCCACTCAAAGAACCTTGTGGGAACCAGAGCTGCCAGCAATGGATTTTCCTCTTGGGCTGTTCTGTAGCAGATAAGCCAGCACCCCACTGTCCTCAGGCTACCAGAGCCCAGGGCATGCTCCCTGGCATCCCCCTGAGGCCACGACATGGGGCAGATGCTGGTGGGCCTGTGGTCCTTGGTTGGGTCAGCTGGTCCTACCCCAGGGGCCCACGGAGGGGAGGCATGTGTGTGTTTTAGGGGGGCACAGGAGGTAAGCTGGTACATCTTTCCTGCCGTAGGAGAAGGTCTTCAAGAGCGTGAGAGTTCTGAGTGCAGCTGCTTGTACGGCTAGGTGGCATGTTTCGGTACCTAAAACCTGTTCCCTAAGAAATAACAAACCACCCGTCGGACATCCCCCTTCCTCCCTCCCACAACTTCAAAAGAGAACTACAAAAAAAAAAAAAAAAAAAGAGAGAAACACCTGAGAGACCAAATAGAGGCCTCATGCCCTCACCAACCCTGTGCCCTGGAGGAGAGAATCCCGTCCTGCATCATCTTCCGCCGGGAGCGCCCGCTCTCAGGAGCGAGCTGGCGTGGCCGCGCAGGGGAGCGTGTGTCTGTGTGTGATGTGCCTTCATGCGTCACTCTATTTATGTTGTTCGCAGCCCAACGGTAGCGGCCAGGGCAAAGTCCCGGGGTCATTTTTGCTACCACCGCCGCCTCCAGTGGCCAGACCTGTGCCCCTTCCTATGCCTGATTCCAAATCCACCAGCACTGCCCCAGACGGCGCCGCCTTGACTCCTCCATCACCTTGTAAGTGGACGATGAAACCGAAACCACAACGCCCAGCGTCCCCAGCCCATCCAAACAGTCTCCACTGCAAAAAGAAAAGCCCCCTCCCTCACTGCCAAAGCCCCCCAACCCAGAGTGCCACGGAGCCTCCCACCCAGACAAGAGCAGAGCTGAGCACCACCCCCCCCCACCCACGGCCTCCTGGGCCTTAGTTGCACCAGCCAGCACCCCACTAGCCCCCCCCTGCCCACCCGCTGCTCCCAGCTGGGGCCCCTGGCCCAGGCCCCTCCGGGGGGCGGGAGAGGGAGCACAGTGGGGCACACAGGCCAGGGGTGCTGGCCAGGGTGGGAGGGGGGAGGGGAGGCACAGCCATGCCATCTTCATGCCTAATTGCTGTTTTTTCATTTTTTGTTTTTTCGTTTTTTGATTTTTTTGTTGTTTCGTTGTGCCCCTCCCCCCACCAAGAAAATTAAATGTGACCACAAGGCGACGCCACCACCATCCCCTTTTTGCCTTGCCCCCCTCACCTCCATTCTGGGCCCCTCAGGCCTCTAAAGGTGCAGCAGGCCAGCCCCCGATCCCCTCCCCTTCAGCCTTCAGTCTCACATTTGGTTTCTCGTTGTTCCTCTTTTTTTTTCCCCCCTTCCCATCCCTCTCCCTTCCCTCAATTTCTTCCCCAGGTCGGATGTTCCAAGGACAAGGAAGGGCTCTGGGCCTTGGCTTACTTCATCTCTTTCTCTCTCTCTCTCTTTCTTTCTTTCTTTTTTTTTTTTTTAAACCGATGACAAATTTTGTCAAAGGGAAGAGAAAAATCTGAGTTGAGAGGCCCAAGCTAGACCCGACGACGCTTGAAGGACAGGAGAGGCGGAGGGTGGGCGGCGTGCCGTCTGTGGGACTGTGGGCAGGGGGTGGGCAGCGCTTCGGGCGCCCTGGGGGCTGGCAGGCCGCGGGCCAGGACTTCGGGACAGCGGCGGAAGGGGTGGCCCATCTCACCACTTTTCTTCGTCTCGCGCTCTCTGTCTCACCTTCTTTTTTCTTGGTTTGAGTTCTTTTCCCCTGTCCATCCTCTTCATGCCATCTTCTCATCTGCATTCGCCACAAGACACGAAGTCATGGTCATGGTCATTGGAGGTGGGCAGGGTGGGAGAGGGGGAGCCAGGCTGCGGGGTGGCTGGGGGTCACTTATGGACAGAATCTGGTGAGCACGGGGTCCCTGGGGTGTATCTGGTACAGGGGGTGGTGGGGTGGGGGCTCCCAGTTAGCTGTGACACGCCTCATTCTCTCTGGGGGGCATCCTTCCTCCTGGGGGTGCAGCGCCAGTCCCCTCCCATAGGGCTCCAGCCAGACAACCCAAGAAGAGCTCCTGAGTGTTTGGCCCATTTGCCCCCCAGACCCCAGAACAGTTGCCCCCGGTGCCCAAGCCCTGGGGCTCTGCCAGGCCCTCTGGCCTCCTCCTCGTCTCGTACCTCGGGTCCCTGGGAACCGCAGGACCATAGCGCCTGGCTCATCCATCAAAGGAGGAGACTGTCTGCCAGGCCTGAGCCTTGCCACCCCTGTGCCTGAGCCAGCAGCCAGCTCCCAGACCCCTCTCTGACCCTGACCCACCCAGCTCAGCCCTCTATTGGGACCCTTCAAATTTCCCAAGCCACCGGCCCAGTCCTTGGGCCCAGAGTGGTAAGTGGCGTAGCACCCAACTAGGCACCCCAGTCGGAGGGGTGGCCTGGCTGAGGTGGCCTTCTCCGAGCAGGATGGGGCCGGTCCGCCAGAACTCCCACCCGCCCGGGCTCCCTGCTCTCCAGACCCAAGAGGGCCAGTAGGAAAGCAAGGGCACTTGCTTCGGGTGCTCTGGGATGAGGGGTATCCCTGGCCCTGCCTAGTGCCTGTTTAGGGGACAGAAGTGGGCCCATGGGGCCTCAGCTATAGCCTCCAGGGCCACGAAAGAGGATGCCTGGCTGCAACGGAGTGCCAGGGGTGGGGGACTGTGTGCTCCTGGTCCAGTGAGAGGATGAGGGAGCCCCTCCGGCCTGTCCTTCCCACTGCCAGCTTAAGCCCAGGCAACGTGGTCTAACCTAGTCTCTCCCTCTCTCAGCAGTCCCAAAGGGCAGTGCCCGGGCAGGCTCCAAGTCCTCACGGGGTCTCTCCCTCTCTCCCCTGCTCCCCACAGCATTCGCAACGACAGGCGCCTCCTCTGCCAACCGGTTTGTCAGCATCGGACCCCGGGACGGCAACTTTCTGAACATCCCACAGCAGTCTCAGGTAGGAGGCCCTGCCCACCAGGTGGATGCAGGCAGGGGTGGGGGCATCTTGGTGTCCGGGAGGAGGCGGGGATCCTCGGGGCAGTCGGGGAGAAGAGGCTGGGGCAGGGCTGGGAGGCTCAGGCTTTTGCATGCCCAGCTGAGCCTGCCTCCCCAGGCAGCCCCCCAGGCCCCCTGGCTAATCAGCTAATTGGATAATTAGCTCTGACAGCTCTGGCCCTGGGGAAGGCAGCCAAGGACCCAAGGCTAGAGGCGCTCTGGGCCAGGCCTGGTGGAAGCAAAGATGGAAGCAGGAGGCTCCATCCGGAGGAGGAGGACAGGGTCTGCCTTGTTGCTTTCCTTTTGCTCCGGCTGGATGCCCTAGCCCCTGGCCCTTCCCTCCTCCTTGGTTTTGGGTGGGCTGGGCTGGGGGTGGAGGAGGGACAGAGGCGGCCTGGTGGGCCACGTGCCCAGAGACTCTGGCACCGAGGGTTAAGGCAGGGCTCAAAGCCGCCCTGGAGGGGCGGTTCCCCCACGTCCTATGAATCCTGTTAGAGGGGAGGCCAGGCTGCTGGAGCCCCCAGTCCTGCTGCCATCTGCCCCCAGTTCTCACAAGGAAATGCCGCCCCTCCAGCCCTCCTGCTGGAGGCCCCTGGGCCTGGTTTTGCACAGGCGTCTTTGCACACACATGCACGCAGGCCCTCTTCTCCCTGTGCCTGTCCCCAAGAGGCTGGCAATAGCCTGTAGAGCCCAGGGCCCTCAGGGCACAGGGACCGGCCTCTGGAGCAGGGCAGAGGCAGCTTTTACAGTATGAGGCTTCTGGGGAATGGAGGGGAGGGGAGGGGAGCATGCAAATATCTTTTTCTTTTGCACATTTTACAAAAACACACCCTGTGAGCCCAGGGCCTTGGAGGCTTCCTCAGCCCTGGGAACACCTCTTTCAGCTTCTGCTCCCTCTTGGCTCTGAGGCCCAAGTCCAAAGAAAGTTGGTGGATGGAAGTTTTGTGTGTGTGTGGTTTAAGGTTTTGTTTTTTTCCCTTTTCCTTTCCCTCCCTAAAAAAAAAAAGAAAAAAAAAGAAAAAAAAAAGAAAGCCAAAAAACTTTGTCAAACTTCAAACTTCAGAGCTCCCTAGTGGCAAGGAGGGGAGGGGAGGGGAACTTCAACCCCCTCCAGCTTCCCAGCCCCTTTCCCCAGAGTCACGTCTGACCCGTCTGGTTTCCAGGAGCAACCAGACATGATGTAACACCCAGATGAACTTGAACTTGGGGGTGTTGAGAAGAAAAACAATGGCTCCGAGCAGGGGCTGGAGCCAGCCCCCTCCGCTCTGTGCCAGGGAGGCCAAGAGAGCCCTGCTGGTAGAGGGCAGGAGGGGGTGCCAGAGGAAGGGACAGCAGGAGGGCCTCCCCTCCTGGCTCTGGGCTGGCACCAGGCGGCAGGGCTCTGGTGCCCCTGCCTGCCCACCCTCCCTCCCGCTGCCCGCCCTGCAGCTCTGACTGTATATGCGCTTGCTCACTCTCGGGGACCACTGCCATGAGCCCTCCCCATTCACCCCATTTCCGCTTCCACATGCTTTCCCTTCTTCACTTTCTCTGCTCACTTTGCTTGGATGTTGGGGCCAACTCAGAATCTGAGGCAAGTTTGGGAAACAGTTTTCCTTCCCCTTGTTCCCACAAGGAGCCTTGGGCCGGGGCCCTGAGCAGGCAGGTGTGTCTGGGGATGGGGGTTGGGGGGCCAGAGTCGGACAAGACGAGCGGGGAGCCCTCGGGCCTGGGGGCAGGCAGGCGGCTGCAGCGGGCGCAGGGGGTCCAGTGGGGGGCGGTTTCCACAGTAACCAGTGACTTTAGCTGATCTCTGGAGCACCAGATGGAGAGAGAACAATAGAATGAGGGAAGAAAAGAGAATTTTACCAATTTTGTCATTCCCTGGGCAGCGTTTTTTACTTAGTTTTAATCAATTTTGGACCTGGCTCAGGAAGCAGGGAGGGGTGAGCAGAAAAAGCCGCTCCGTGCTTGGCAGCAGATCCCCCATTTCTGGGACCCGTGGGGAGGCACCAGGGAGTCCCGTTGGAGTTGTCTTTGTCCCTGACTCCAGGCCTGGAACCAGAGTCTTCCTCCTCTGAGGGGAGGGCCCCTCAATCTGAGCACTGGTGGTTGTCCCCCCCTGCCACTGTGCAGCTCAGGAGACCCCCAACGGGGCCAGTCTGGGGCCTTGGCTTGGCCTGCCAAGGGCATCGAGGCCAAGCAGGTCCTCCCTGCACTGGTTGTCCCTGGCCTCTTTTCCCTCACAGGAAGGGGGAGGGGCAGGCTCACAGCCAGGGTGATGGTGTAAGCGTTCCGGTGTAGTCTCCCCTTGGGAAGGTGTGTGTGTGGGTGTCCCAGAGAACACTAACACCCGAGCCTGCAGGGACAGGGGGCTCACTCGGGCAGCTCCCCTATTCCTCCGGCCAGGACCGAAGCCTGGGAGCTGGCACCCCCCCCCCCCCCAGCCACTCTGAGAATGCCTCAGGCCTGGGTTTCCTCCACACCTTGCTAGGCCCACATGAGCCTCCATTTGGCCTAAAATCAGTCGATGGGGTTGAACTTTGGGCAGGTGCTCCAGGAGCTCCATCACAGGAGGGCAGGTCTCCTCTCCGCATGTTGTCCAGTACATGGCAGGAAGTGTGGTATCTCTGCCCACCCAGTAAATGCTAGCAGTGCCCCCAGTCGTTGTGGCAACCCCAAACCCCCATGTTTCCAAGTGCCCTCCATCTGCACTATCCAGTGTGGTAGCCACTGGCCACATGTGGCTGTTTAAATTAAGTAACTAGAGAAAAATTTAGTCCCTTGGTCACACTAGCCGTATTTCAAGTGCTTAGAAGCCATGCATTGTTAGAGGCTACTGCATTGGACAGCACAAATAGAGAATATTTCCATTGTCCCAGAAAGTTCTAGATGATCTCCGAGGCCCTTTCTTTCTTCTTTTTTCCAGTTTTATTGAGATATAATTGACATATAGCACTGTATAAGTTTAAAGTGTACAACATAATGACTTGACTTACATACATCATGAAATGACTGCCACGATAGGTTTAGTAAACATCTATGATCTCATATAACCAAGGCCCTTTCTGACTCTAAAACTTGATGTCTCCATCTCACGGTGGACGATGGCCTGCAGTTCCAAACCAGAGCCTGAGGGCTGCAGGCGTAATCTGTGTGACCCAGACAAGTGTTTCAAATATTGGAAAATTTCACATGAAATTGTCTGGACTTTCAAGCTGCTGCTTTTTTTTTTTTTTTTTCATTTTTTAAAGCAGCTTTATTCACAAACTATAAAAATCTACCCATTTAAAATGTACAATTCGATGGCTTTAAAAAATTTTTATATTGGAGTATAGTTGATTGACAACATTGTTTTAGTTTCAAGTGTACAAGAT